CCTGAGTGGCTGGGACTACAGGTGCGTGCCATGCCTGGATATTTTAATTTTTTATAGAGATGGGGGTCTCCCTATGTTGTCTAGGCTGGTCTTGAACTCCTGGGCTCAAGTGATCCTCCTGTCTGGGCCTCCCAAAGTGCTGGGATTACAGGTGTGAGCCACCAGACTCTGGCTCAGGATGTCTTTACAGAAAATACACAGGTTTAGAAATGAAACCAATTACAGTAGGTTCTCATTATTCACAACAATTACGTTCTAAGAAGTTGCTACAGACACTAAATTATCCAATAGAGAACCACTGTTCCGGCCGGGCGCGGTGGCTCAAGCCTGTAATCCCAGCACTTTGGGAGGCCGAGACGGGCGGATCATGAGGTCAGGAGATCGAGACCATCCTGGCTAACACGGTGAAACCCCGTCTCTACTAAAAAATACAAAAAACTAGCCAGGCGAGGTGGCGGGCGCCTGTAGTCCCAGCTACTCGGGAGGCTGAGGCAGGAGAATGGCGTAAACCCGGGAGGCGGAGCTTGCAGTGAGCCGAGATCCGGCCACTGCACTCCAGCGGGGGGGAAAAGAAAAAACCCCCTTCAAAAAAAAAAAAAAAAAAAAAAAAAGAGAACCACTGTTCCTTGGGAAACCGGTTCCTGAAAGCCTCTGGGCACATTCTTGTCAACCAATCAATATATAATCATGTTTTATGTGTGTTTATGTTTAAAGGCACTTACTGAATATACATTAGTAATTCATTAATATTGAACTCATACCTAAGCAAAGCTTATCTAACACACATATTTTCTCCTTAAGACAAATCACAGACTTCTTGCATTTAGAAACACTTCAGCACAATGCTTGGGGGCTATCTCAAACAGTGGAATCACCAACAAAAAGCACAGAGAAAAACGTAGCACCAAAGACTGCAAAAATGACATTTGCTTACAATATGAGAGCTGACAAGAAGGCAGTGTCACCTTGTTTGACTTCAGCTGACAACATGCGCATCAAGCGACTAAAATTTTTATGTGAAAAAAAGTCATGTCTTCCAAAGACCACAAAAGCATTTTAAGTATTAATGTGGGGGCTACAGATAAATTTTAGTGAGTAGGTGAATTCATAAATACAGAATCCACAAATAATGAGGATAGACTATATACTAAAATTTTATTAAAATACAAAAACATATGTGCTTCTTTATTGGCTCATTATATATGCAATCTAGAAGCAAATTTAATAACTACCCTAATTTCAAAGTTGTAAATGAGCTTACACAATACTGTGATATGAAAATATCTGTAATTTATATTCATAACAAAGTCACACTGCTAATAATGTGATTTATTGCCTACATTCATAGTGGAAGAAAATGCTAAATTTCAGTTGAAGGTTAGGAAACAAAGATGCAATTTTTCCTCTCATCCAAGTTCACGGCCCTCGCAGTTCTACCCACTGTCAGTTTAAGGGACCATACAGTTAAGGCATCCAGGTTCAGGTTACTTTCTTTAAATCTGCCAGCCCAAAAAGCTGCTGAAGGTTTTCCAATAACAGAAAATCAAACAAACAATTTATAACTAATCCTTGCCTATGAAGATCTCAAATTGGTAATGTTTTGTTTTGGTTTTGTAAAGACAAGGTCTTATTATGTTGCCCAGGCTGGTATCGAACTCCTGGCCTCAAGCTATCCTCTTGTCCTGGCCTTCCAAAGTGCTGGGATTACAGACAGATTGGTAGTGTTTTATTCATTTGTGACCCATGAACAGGGTTCTTTCAGCCCAGGGTAGGAAAGACAGGAACGCGCTCGAGCCAGTTTGGCTAATGGGAATGGTATTCAACCTCTGCTTGAGCACAGCCTTCTGCCTGCTGAAGCACAGGCTTGTCCTCTTCCCTGTCATTCTGGGCCTCACATTTGGCAATGGATAGAAACAAAAAAAGAAGTAAGGCTTGCGGTAAGTCAACCTCCAAAAACCCGGGTTCCAAAAGACAAGGGTATGATTCTATCAAGGAGTGCACATTTGAGGATGTACAATGAATCCGGTCCCATTTTAAGTAACGCACAAAGATTAGCTCACTGAAACCTCATAACCCCATTTACTAGGTACAGTAGTTCTTTAGCTGAGGTTTTGATTTCCACAGTTCCAGAGGTCAACCATAGTCCAAAAATAGGTGAGTAGTGTGCAGTAAGATATTTTGAGAGAGACCACATTCACATACATTTTATTACACTGTTATAATTCTATTTTATTACTGTTGTTAATCTCTTACTGTGCCTAATTTACGAATTAAACTAAGTAATCATAGGTATGTATGTGTAACCTGTATGAGAAAAAACACAGTATAGATGCTTCTCAACTTACAATGGGGCTACTTCCCAATAAACCTATGTAAAGTTGAAAAATTTTACATAGGTAAACCACGGTAAGTGGTCAGGGTCCTTCACTATCCAAGATTTCAAACATCCACTGGAACGTACACCTCGCACCATTTTCTTATTATCAGTTCCACTTTTCTAATAAGAAAATGGAGGCTTAGAAGCGGTTAAGGAAGCCCCCAAGGGACACTATAAGGTGGATACAATCTATAGTATATGCTACCGAGATACACTACCTCTTACTTCAGGGTCTTATGAAGGTCAGAGCTAAGAGACTTTAGACCTTAGCCCTCTCCTGCCATCTTCTCTCTTTGGGAAACTTTTCCCTAATTTTCCCAGGCAGAATTCATCACTGGCTCAGTGTTTCCAAGGAACACTACAGATGCCTCGATGAAACTACTCAGGCAAGTCAACAGCCCACAGTATTGCACGGTACTTGGCGTAAAGCGAACCCAGCCTCTGTCTGTACCCGTCCAGTGATGTCTGTATCTGTCCAGCACGCTACCTAAGAAGACAAGCGTGGCCCACTACTGGAAAACTTCCGTTAATACCGTCCTCCCACCTACGGATAACTGATCTCCTCCGCAGAGAAACCAGCCCTAATCTCGGTGCTGCCCAGAACATCCTCAGGACGCAAAAGGAGGCCACCTACGGGTCTCCCCCTCTCCCCTCAGGCCCCGTACACCGAGGGAGAGCCAGGGCAAATGGAGTCACGAAAGCCACCCTCAGGTCCCAGGGCCTGCAGCATCCCTGAACGGACTTGCTTACAGGCAGCGTCGGGCCCAACCTCGCTCACCCGCCCTCTGGCCTGGACCGTCAACTGCCCTAATGACCGCCATCCCCAACGGCCCTGCGCTCCAACTCACCACTGCCCTGCCAGCCTGCACGTCGGAAGCCGGGCTCAGCGCGACTGCGACGCGCAAAGATGAGCTAACGAGGGGGCGGAGCATTACGCCGGCCCCGCCCCCACGGCGCGGAGCACGCCGCAGCGCCCCCTGCAGTCGCTACGCCGGGTGCGGGGCAGATGCCGAGGGCGAGTGGGCGGAGAGAGGAGGGAGGAAGCCACGCCCTGCTTCCAGAGGCGTGGTAGCTGGAAATTTGCTCCCGGAAGCGCAGACGTTTAGCTTCCGGCAACTGAAGGTTTAGGGGCTTGTGTTGCAATTTCATTGCAAAATAAATTTGTTGCTAAAATAAATTCAGTGAAATCGAACTTTGTCTTTCAAACTGCTAGTCATGACCCATTAGCGTGACAGATATCAGTTTAATAGGTTGTCACTGGCATTTTTTTTTTTTTGGAGGGCCAGGCAGAGTGGCTCACGCCTGTAATCCCAGCACTTTGGGAGCCGAGGTGAGAGGATCGCTTGAGCTCCTGATTTCCAGACCAGCTTGGGCAACATAGCCAGAGACCTCGTGTCCACTAAAATTCCAAAAAATTAGCACATGCCTGTAGTTCCAGTTACTTGGGAGGCTGAGGCAGGAGGATCCCTTAAGCCCTGGAGGTTGAGGCTACATTGAGCCGTGATCACACCACTGCACTCCAGCCTGGGGGGTAGAGCTAGACCTCGTCTCAAAAAAAGAAAAAAAAAAAAAACAGATGGGGCTGGGTGTGGTGGTTCATGCCTGTAATCCCAGGATTTTGGGAGTCGGAGGTGGGTGGATCACTTGAGGTCAGGAGTTTGAAACCAACCTGGCCAACGTGGTGAAACCCCATCTCAAGTGAAAAAACAGAAACAAAAACAAAATTAGCCGGGTGTGGTGGCACATGCCTGTAGTCCCAGCTACTTGGGAGGCTGAGGCAGGAGAATCGCTTGAACCCGGGAGGCAGAAGTTGCAGTGAGCCTAGATCACACGACTGCACTCCAGCCTGGGCAAAAGAGTGAGACTCTGTCTTGAACAGCAACAACAAAAAAAGAGATGGGAAGAGGCTCATGCCCCATTTTCGAGGCCGCCCTGTGGCTCAGATGTGGTGGCTCACTCCTGCAATCCCAGCACTTAGGGAGACCAAGGTGGGAGGATTGCTTCTGGCCATGATTTCAAGACCAGTATGGGCAACATGGTGAGACCCAATCTCTACAAAAATTTTAAAATTGCAGACGCAGTGGTGTGCACTTGTAGACCTAGCTACTTGGGAGGCAGGGATAAGGATCACTTGAGCCCAGGAGTTTGAGACTGCCCTATGATTGGGCCACTGCACTCTAGCCTGGGTAACAGAGTGAGACCCTGGTTCTAAAAAATATTTTTCAAAAAAACTAGTTTTAAAGTTCAAAAATATAAATATAAAGAGAGATGGAGGACTATTAGACCACTTACAAATAGGTGAAGTTCATCTTTGGGGGTTTTTCTTTTAAGACAGAGTCTTGCTGTGTTGCCGAGGCTGGGGTGCAGTGGTGCAATCTCGGCTCACTGCAACCTCTGCCTCCTGGGTTCAAGTGATTCTCCTGCCTCAGCCTCCCCAGTAGCTGGGATTACAGGCACGCACTACCAATTTTACAGGCACGCACGCCCGGCTAATTTTTTGTTTGTAGTAGAGACGGGGTTTCACCATGTTGGCTAGGCTGGTCTCAAAGTCCTGACCTCAGGTGCTCCACCCCCTCGGCCTCCCAAATTGCTGGGATTACAGGCGTAAGCCACTGCGCCTGGCCATCTTTAGGGGCTTTTTGAGGAGGCTGTGTGTGACCAGAAATTGGCAAATACACCACATCTCCCACGACCTATTCTCTTGTCCTCAGTAATCTCACATTAACACAAAAGAGAAGACATCCTACAACTCTTCTGTTGTGCACGTGACTTCCCTGAATGCCAGCATCCTTAACGCTCAAGTTCACATGTTTCAAAGTGATATGACTAATTTTTCTCACTCACATTGACTGGAGAGCTATTTCTCTCCTTCCCAGCTCTGTGACATCTCTGTCCACAGAAATTTCATCTGGTCCAGGTGGACCCTCTGCATGTCACTGGCTTAGAAAGTTTGGGTCAAAGTGAGCAGACTTCAAGACTGAATTGTCAAAATTCTTTTGTGGCATCTCCTGTAAGTCAAGATATCCTTGTAACCGTTCTGGATCTATTGGACCAGGGGGCAGGCATGTGCCCCTGAAGCTAAGGAAGAATGTACAAATTATATCATGAAGCCAGTGAGATGATTTTCAAACGTAGAGAATTTCCTTTAGATTGACTTAAGTGCTGACTGGTGTTCTGGCACATTCCACAGAGCTAAATACACAGAAACTGACCCTGCATTGGCTGCGATGTGGGTTCCCGAAGTGCGGGAAGGAATTAACATTAGTACTACAAAGCAATGGCTTTTAGCAGTTAAATGAGTGATCTGCCGCCTTCCGGTATAACCAGTTGCCTTGGTTTTGGCCAATCCGCTGCTTTGTTTTTTGTTGGTGACATTTACGGGTTTTTGTGGGTTTTGGAAATAGATTATTATGTAACCTCTCCCACACCAACATAATTGGGCTATCTTCACTCTAACTTTTAGCTTTCGAATATGAAGAAGTATTTTTGAAAGACTCCCACTTTAAGAATGGTGAAATTTTGGCTGTCAAAAGTGCTCACAACTGTATGACTAAGTGAATTTTAATTTGTGTGATCTGAGGTTATGTGAGGTTTTTTTCTTTTCTACACATTAACTATAAATACCACACCTTCAAATTATTCTAAAAGCACACTGATCACATTTATGCCTTTTAACTTAAAATTTAATTAAAATTTAAAATTAAAAAAGCATAAATGTGATCAGCGTGCTTGTAGAATAATTAAGCCAAATACTAAGACTTTCCATTTCTGTTTATTTGCTCCGAAATCTGCTACTACTAATTTTCAATTGAAGCAAGTTGTTTTGGATAAAAATTCAATTAATCGTCTCAAAAAAGAGAAATGGAATACATTAAGAAAAAAGTAGAATAGAAGATATAAGAGTACATCATACATAGTAAAGTTACATCATGTTTTATAAAAACTGTTTCACCCATGAGGTTACTGGGTCACAAATGAAAATCCATTTCTTGCTAGGAGTCATGACCAAACACTTTGAAAATCATAGTACTAAAGACTTTCTAGCTTTATAATTCTATAATTATGAAAAGAACTCCAAACCATTCATTCAAAAAGGATGTAATAAGTACCTACTTTCACCCCATCCCCCCCAAAGGGCCAGGCATATGGGATCACTGGCATGACCTTAGCACTGGGACTATAAAGCTAGAATAATTGGCCTTTTTTAAACTGTGGATGTCTCAGGCATCTGATGAAGTCTATGAATCCTGTCTCAGAACAATGGGGTTTTTTCTTTTGGAAGAAAAAATTTCAATTGCTATTGCAAAAAAAAAAAATCCGTATGGAGTAGAAATTGGTTTTGATAGCATTATTACAGAATACGTTCTAGAAAGTGGAGGTAACTGGATGTAAGATTCTGGCAGCAGTTTAATAGAACAGTCCCAGATGCGTAGGTTGAGGCCAACGCCTAATTAGGGTGAACGGTTTGTGTTTGTGCGTGTGTAATTTTGGACAATATAAGGAGAAACGTTACACTGTGCACAAACCAAATTTAATTTTTTTACAAGTGTTGTGAAGTTTCATATAGTAAAAGGTTTTTGCTACATGCACTTCATTTTCACATTAAGAGTGTTTAGAATACCTAAACACAAAAGAGATCATTCATGCAAGATATGCCACTCCTTGATATAATAATGCGTGCAGTTCAAAATGTTCACACTTTTTTTTTTTTTTTAGATGGAGTCTCGCTCTGTCTCCCAGGCTGGAAGGCAGTGGCACAATCTTGGCTCACTGCAAGCTCCGCCTCCCGGGTTCACGCCATTCTCCTGCCTCCCAAGTAGCTGGGACTACAGGCGCCCGCCACCACGCCTGGCTAATATTTTTTGTATTTCTTTTAGTAGAGACGGGGTTTCACCATGTTAGCCAGGATGGTCTCGATCTCCTGACCTCATGATCCACCCGCCTTGGCCTCCCAAAGTGTTGGGATTACAGGCGTGAGCCACCGCATCCCGCCAATGTTTACACTATTGATGCAGTAGCTGCTGCCATCACAGGGCTGTGGTGGGGAGGCACAGCCGGGGCTGCATGCCGGTGGATGCCTCGCCCCTTCTGAGTTGGGGAAAGCTCCCCGGGTGCTGCTGCAGCCGCCCAAACCACAGCTGCAGACTCAGGCCTCCTGCTTTACGGAGCAGGCAGGATCCCCACCCTCCTGGGCGAGGCTACAACTGCCCAAACTGCGGCTGTGGATCCGAGCCTCCCTGTGCTCTTGGAGGGGGCTGGCAGCAGGCAAGATCTGCCCTCCTAGGTGCAGGACCCAGAGAGTTTCTGCAGCCTGCACCCTCGTGGACCCCAGAAAGGACCCCACTGCCCCTTCTTCCCCCTCAGTCGCTTGGGGGTGTCTGTTCCTGCTGCCTGGCCTGTCTCAGCTGCCACCCCTGCTCTGATCTTGGAACAGGGCTTGGGGCCAAACCCCAGAGGCCATGAATGACAGTGGGAGGCAGATTGATTCCTGGGCAGAAGGGGGTGGGTCTCCAGTAAGGCCCATCTTCAGGTCAGGGAGGGACTGAAGACTGGGGACCAGGCTGCCAGTCCCACAGACCTGAGTGGGAGCTTGTAGTGCCTCCTCCAAGCCCACCGATGGCTGCCAATGGGCCAATCAGCACACACTTCCTCCTGTCTGAGGTCCATAAAAGCCCTGGGCTCAGCCAAACTGCAGGAGAGGACAGAGACACAGCAGGAAGAGTAGCTGTAGAGAGGAGCTACTGTCTGCCAGAGCTGCAGAGACCTGAGGAGACTTTCAAAGGACCTGTGGAGAGGAGGCCCCCTCCTCCTGTAGAGACTTCCAAATGACCCGAGGAGAGGATCCCCCAGAACAGCCTCCTTCTCCAGGAGCAAGTCTTTCCTCTGCTAAGAGCAGCTCCCCTCTTCAGGGTTGGGTCTTCTTTCCGCTGAGAGCAGCAGGCGGCAGGATGACCATTGGGCAGAGGGGAGCTCCCCTCTCCAGGCTCCTGTCTGCTGAGAGCTGAACACTCCATGGGATGACTTGCTCAGAGGAGCTACCCACTGTGGGTCTTCTCTGAGCTGCTTAACAGCTAGACTCAAT